CCTCCCACTCCTGCTCCTGAGGAGGGTTCTGGGTCCTTGGTAGGAGGTCAACCTATCCTTCCCTTTTGGGGGCCACTCTGCATCCTCACTTCACCTCTGACTTTGAACGTCTCGTTCTTCAAGAGATCCTAATCTAATCCACCAAATGGAATGTCCCAATGTACATGGTGGCCCCTCAGGTTTCTGGGGCAAAGAGAATGTTTCTGTGGACTCTGTCTCCATAACCCCTCACCCACAGGAGCCCATCCTGTTCGGGACGACCATCATGGAAAACATCCGCTTTGGGAAGCCGGCAGCTTCCGATGAAGAGGTGTACGCAGCCGCCCAGGAAGCCAATGCTCACGAGTTCATCACCAGCTTCCCCGAGGGCTACAACACCATCGTTGGTAGGTGCTCGGGTCTGCCGGGAACCAGGTGGTCAGGCATTGGGACACAGGATTCCGCAGGAGCAGTGAGCAGCCCAGCGGGACTGAGGGCAGCAGGGACAGCTGGGGAGAAAGACAGTTGTGTCAGGGAAGACCAGAACCACAGCCAAAGGGGACAGAGTTGTTCTGTGGGGACAGGGGAGTCCAGGCCAATGTGGTTTAGCACCAGCAGACCAAGCAGCCTGCAGAGACAGGACGGGCTCCAGGAGGAACTGGAGAATGCGACAGGGGGCATATGACAGGCCCCTGGCCAGGGACACAGTGATGCATGGTATTTGGAGTCCTCACTGAGTCTAAAAAGCCGCCACTTCCCCAGACTGAACAGAAGAAACGGGGGGTTGCCTCCTCTCCACCGTCCATCCCCCTCTGGCTCCTGTTTCCTTCCTGAGCTTTTCATCTCTAAAGTCGTTTCTCCTCATTAGAATCGGGGTGACTGGATGGGCCCCAGGAGAGGGCTCTGGTGGTTCTGAACTAGGAACACGCAGCCTGGCACTGCAGGGCGTGCACCTTGCAGCTTGATGTGTGGAGCTCCCAGGTCTTTTTCCAGCCTTTGGGGCCATGTTTCTTGGCCAGTGTCTTGGCTCTGTTGCACAGTGTTTCAGCACTTCTCAGCATGCAGGGATATCTGAGCTTCTCAACTCTGGTCAGTCTGAGTCCAGCCTTCTGAGCTGTGGGGTCATTGTCTCCAGCCCAGCCATCATATTCTAGATGACTCCTCCAGCCATGTTCATATACTGTCCAGATGCCAGCTGTCCTCATTGGGTGCTCTCCCACATCTCTTGGATGGCACTTTCCTTGTGTCTCTGATCCTAGTACTTTCTGATCATTTGGGCCTTCTTGGGGCTGCGTCCTTACTGACCTGTCACCCTGCTGTCACCTTGAGGTTCTTTTTGGCTCCCAGGCTGCCACTTGTGCTGTCCTCTGTGGGCTTCGAATCCCACTTCCCTGGAGTCACTGGACCCCAGAGCCCATGTTTGGGTGCTGGATGTTCCCCACAGCCACAGAGACCCGGGAGGCTGGGAAGGTGGCTTGGAGCTGCAGGCACAGGGCAGGGTGTGGGTCATCCTGGCCTGAGGCACTGCTATGGCTGGGGAGGGGCATTTGGCAAGTCCCTTGGAGTGCACCAAGCCCTGCTGGCAGGTGTCACGCCACCCTCAGAGGCAGGGCAAGTGTGCACAGTGACTGAGGGACCCAGAGGTGGGATGAGCCAGTGCAGGGGCAACCCAGCAGTAGGAGGAGTATGCACAGTGCGGGGTGGGGGGTCAGAGGCAGGAGGAGGGTACACAGTCGGGGGTGGGGAGTCAGAGGCAGGAGGAGAGGTACACAGTGCGGGGTGGGGAGTCAGAGGCGGACCAGCATGCACAGTGCGGGGTGGAAGTCGGGAGGCAGGACCGGGTGCACAGTGCGGGGTGGGGGTCAGAGGCAGGACGAGGGTGCACAGTGCTGAGAGGCACAGTGCGGGGTGGGGGTCAGAGGCAGGACGAGGGTGCACAGTGCTGAGAGGGGCACTTAGAGGATCTTGATGGGAGTTCAGGTGGGACCCTGTGCCCCTTTGTGGGCCACCCTCAAGTGCACAGCTTCAGGCTCCTGCTCTGCCCCTCCCTTCCCAGGTGAACGGGGCACTACCCTGTCTGGGGGCCAGAAGCAGCGCCTGGCCATTGCCCGAGCCCTTATCAAGCAGCCCACAGTGCTGATACTGGATGAAGCCACCAGCGCGCTGGACGCAGAGTCCGAGCGGGTTGTGCAGGAGGCCCTGGACCGGGCCAGTGCAGGCCGCACAGTGCTGGTAATTGCCCACCGGCTCAGCACCGTCCGTGGGGCCCACCGCATCATTGTCATGGCCGATGGCCGTGTCTGGGAGGTTAGTCCTGGGGGCGTGGATCAGTGGGTTGAGGATGGCTTCATCATGAACAGTGGCACAATGCTGCAATGAGTTACACGAAGGCGTGGCCTGGCCCCAGGGCCTTCAGGGCTGTATTCTGGAAGCAGCATCCCATGTAGAGTCAGGAGTTCCTGCATTCAGCCAAGCCCTGGCCTCTCAGGCCCTCAGTTTCTTCCTCTGTCCCCTGGGATAGTATAGTTGCACCATCAGCTCCCAGGATCAAAAGGAAAAGTACTAGCCGGGTGCCTGTAATCCCAGCATTTTGGGAGGCCAAAGCAGAAGGATCTCTTCAGGCCATCCTGGGCAACATAGCGAGACCCTGTCTCTACAAAATACCCAATAAAAAATTAGCTGGATGTGGTGGCATGCGCCTGTACTCCCAGCTACTCTGGAGGCTGAGGCAGGAGGATTACTTGACCCCAGAAGTTGAGGCTGCAGTGAACAATGATTGTGCAATTGCACTCCAGCCTGGCATCAGAATGAGGCCCTGTCTAAAAAAAACAAAAAGGAAACATACTCAGAAAGAGTATGGTGCTGTGAGCGAGGAACAGGGCTGGCTGCCCAGGGTATCAGTTGCAGAAGAAGCAGCACCAAGGAACCTGTGCAGGGAGTCAGAAGTAGGACCCCAGAGGCTGTGTGGCATTGGTTCACAGCCGCTCATTCAAGCCAAGGCTGAGGGGCTTGTGCAGGGAGATGGATCCTGAGTTGGAGCCTTGGGCTCTGTAAGCGGGACAGGGAATCATGTTCTTCCAAAATTCAGCTAAGTAGGGAAGTGGCAGTAAATAATGCAGCATGCCAGTGGCGGTTCCTTTCAGATTGGGCATTGGTTTCAGAGTGTCCCCAGAAGGGACACTGGCCTAAGTGACCGTGGGCCCAATGGCTGATAGAGAGGCTTAGCCCTCGGAACGTTCTGAAGCCTGCACGCCTTGGAGCAACCATTCGCCCCTCCCTCCCATCTTCCAGGCTGGCACCCACGAAGAGCTCCTGAAGAAAGGCGGGCTGTACGCCGAGCTCATCCGGAGGCAGGCCCTGGATGCCCCGAGGACAGTGGCCCCACCGCCCAAAAAGCCAGAAGGCCCCAGGAGCCAGCAGCACAAGTCCTGAGAAGGGCCCCCGAGGTGTGGTCGCTGCCAAGCATCAGTGCTAGGGCTGGGACTCAGCCTGCGGGGAGCTTACTGGAGACTGAGCCCCCGGGAGGGCCAGCATGTGGAGAGTCGCTGCAGCTGCTCCTGCTCACAATAAAGCCGGGGCCGAGCGGCTGGCAGGGGAGGCCAATCCCTCCCTCCCCTCCCTAGTCCTGCCGGCTGCTTCCCTCCCACCAGAGTCTGCCAGAGTCATTGGGCTGCAATGGGCAGAGGCAGAGTTCCCCACTCTGTTCTCCCTTTGCCCAGACCCCTCCAGACCTCTCAGAGACGTTCTGGCCAGTCTCCCTGCCCCACCCAGCAGCCTCAAGTTGGCCAGGCCCAGGGAGTTTTTAAAAATCAGGGTCTGGAAGTGGGCCTGGGAATTCAAACCTAAGGCTCTTCCCACACCTTTGCTAGGACCTCACTTCCCTAGACTGGGGACTGACCCCTTCTCCTGTGTCCCCACTGCCTCACTGGACCATGGGAAAAGGAGCCTATCAGCTGGCTCACCCCGGAACCCACAGTCCCCATCTTCCAAACAGCCTCCCTCCCTTCTCCCTGCACAGTGAACACAGTCCTGATTTCTAGATTTCACCTCCCCTCCCCACCCCCAAGGGACACAGACTTCACAGGGCCCAACACTTGGGTCAGGGTAGGAGGCATGGGGCCACAGTGGCCAGTTCCCACGAGAGGCGCCAGCCTGCGTGGCTGTCTTCCACCAACCCTGCCCTGTGTGCCTGGAGTCTTTCACCCACTGAGATCGTGGACCAGCCTCCATCTACACCAAGAACACCCAGCTCTGAAGGAGATGGGAGGGGCCGATGCCCACCTGAAGCTCTCAGCTTCCTGCCCACAATGCTGACAAGTACAGAACTAAATGGAGCAACTACTGCAGAATCCAGTACAGAATTGGTCCAGGAGGGCGCGGCTGTGGACAGGCCAGCGCCCCCCGCAAGTTCTGGGAGGCGCATCTTGAAAGGGGAAGGCAGACATCCCGAGTGACGGGTGCCTGTGGCCCCGAGGCTATGGATGAGGGGGCTACACTTCAGCTGGCTTCTGAGGGGCCTGGAAAGGCACAGAAGTAGGGCCTTGGCTGAACTGGCACCCAGCAGGACCTCGTGTCCCTGCACTGCTGCAGATGCACCAGCCCTCCCCACCTTGGTGCCACTGTCACTTCCTACTGGGATCCTTCCCCCCATCCAGTGACACCCAGGCTGTGGGACCACACGGGGCCCTGCTCCCCTGGGCAGGAGAAGAGGTGGTGCCTGCGGTGCACCTTCACAGCCAGCCAAGTGTACTAGATATATCCTGCGTAAAGAAGGATGGTACCCTCTTTCAGGGGTGTGGTGCAGTGCGCTGATGGAGCAGCTGATGCTGCTGGGAGGCCATCCTGGAAGAGGCAGCAGTGGCTCAAGTTTGTGTGCAGGAGCCAGAGTGGGACCCACAGGCTCTTGTGGGTATGGTTTAGAACTAGATGGTGCTTTGGGGACAAGCCATCCAAAAACCCCAGGCCCACATCCACCCTGATTTGATATCCCACTTCCTGACAGATCAGAGGCTATGTCTCTAGGCAGTGAAGGCTCAGGAGCAGAGCCTGGGGCTGGTTCACAGCTAAACCCCTCCCTAGGGCAGCCCAGAGTAGGGCCTTAGCTTCTGGCGAGTCCACAAGCCCTGCCGGGGCCCTGCTTGTTGGCCTGACCCCTCCCTCACCAGGCAACCAGCCAAGGCGATTTCTGCTTCACCCGCTCAGTCACCAGCCTCAGGCTGCCCAAGATGCCTCTGACACCAGATTTATATCTTCTGGATGGCTTCTCCAAATCCAGCCCTTTGCCCGCCCCCTAGAGAAGCAGTGAAACCTCACAGCTAGTCCAGCTGGAAGAGCTAGATTGCAAGAGCCGTGCCATCTTCCTAACGTCGCCTCGGCCTTAGCTCCACAGTGGAGAGGGGGAGCCTAGCTGTGCTTGATGGTGAATGCCTGTTTTGAGAGTGTGAGTGGGATCATCTACGGTACAATACTTGCAAAGCACAGCACTGTGGCTCTGGGGAACTGGTACGCCTGTGCTGTAACCATGGTACTCACTCAGTCCTTCCAAAGTGTTTATTAATCAAGCACCTGTCATGTGCCATTGAGCCCACGATGGGGAATGAGGACGGTCCCTTCCCCCATGAAGCTTGTGTCCTGTTGGGAGGACAGACAGGTGGCCCAGCAGTTGCAGCATGGTGTGTGCACACATTTGGTTGGTGGAACCATGTTTCTACCACTCATGGTCAAAAAAAGCCCACCAAAGTCAGCCTGGCGACCTCAGGTGCTTTTTTGGGCAAAGATAGATAGAACAGAAATAAATTTTAGTAAATTAATGGAGATGAGCCGACTTTCCCACAGGTCTACAAGGAATGTCACCTCACTCCCAGATACATGGGGGCAGATGACCATTTAGCCAAATGCAGAGTGTGACACTGATGAGGACTGCCTGGCTCTCCTCCCCAGGTCCAGGGCTTCCTCCCAGAACCTCAGGTGTTCCTGGGCTGGCCCTTGTGGCCCTGAGCTGGGCAGCACCTCATCTCCAGGACCATGGATCAGCACGGTGTCCTCATCCCACTTCAGGTCAGCTGGCACTAGCTTGCACTAGTAACACGGCCTCCTGGAGGTCTCTACCCACCCTCTGGGAGCCTGCCCCCACCCCCAACCCGTTACCTTCTCCCCTGGATCATTGGAAGCATCTTAGGTCAGATAATACGCTGGCTCTGCCCTCTGCAGGCTCGCTGTCTCACACCAGGGACACAGTGACTCTAGAAAAGCCCCATGCAAAGCAGGCCTGCTCCCACATTACTGGTGGAGGTGCACAATGGCATGACTCCTGTGGGGGAAATTCAGTGTTATCTATCAGATTACCAACCCAGCGGTCTCTTGGCCCAGCAGTCATCCTGGGAGTTCACATCTGTGTGATGATACGGCAGCATTGTTTGTAATGGAAAGACTGGAGACCCCCAGTGCATCAGTGGGGCAGTCATTCAATAAACTGGCATGTGCACATACTGGGTGGTACGCAGCCCTTTGGAAAAATGAAGGTTTTCCAGGTCCTGGCTATAGCAGTGTAAAATGAGAAATCACAGAATACCCATATTGTACCCAGAAGGGTGGCAGGTGGGCATCTGTGGTACCCAGGACGGTGGCAGGTGGGGCACCCATGTTCTACGTGGGGTGGCAGGTGAGCCCATAACCATTGTAGAGGCCAACATCCTCAACAGGAGGGCCTAAGTGTGGGGAGGTAGGCTCTGACTCCCTAGGGAGAGAGGGACACTTAGGAAACAGACGGGCCCTGGAAGTGGGACGTGAAGAGTGCTTTGGCCATCCAGTGTAGGCTGAGATGGTGGGGGCACAGAAAGAAGAGATTCGCCGATGCCAACCTTCCAACCACTTCCCAGTTTGGCCAAGAGCCAGCTCTGGTCTTTGGGAAGGAACAGATGATCCTGGGTGAAGCTAGAGGGAAGGCCGGAGAGGCAAAAGGAGGGAGGAGCTAGGCCAGGGGTCAGCGACCGACCCTCGGGGCCAGTGTACAGGGGCTGCAACTCGGAGCCTAGGGGGCCTCCAAGGCACCTCTAAGCTCAATTTACCCCTGGACTTCCCTCGAGCTCTCCCTGGGATCACTGTGATTTTCTCCTGGCAGCTCTCGTCTTGGACAGCCATGCCCCCCCTCCATGCTACACTAATGGCTCAGCCTGGGGCCCCAGGGACCTCCCCTACCCCCCCAGACTGCTCTGCCGGCCCCCTTTCCTCCCTCACTGCTGAAACCCAATCCTCTGCAGCAGCGCCGGCTCAGCACCACCTCAGCACCGCTCCGCAGCCCCTGCCTGCCACGGTCAGCTGTGCCCCACCTGGTCTGCTGCGGAGTCCCCAGCCCAGTGTCTAGCCCAGTGGAGCCACCGCCTGTTCCTCAGGAAGGTTGAGTGGGACCTGACCGGCCAGGTTACCTCCTCCAATCCTGTCAGGCTAGTGCCTCCCTGCCTCCCAACCTTGGCTCTCTCCCACCCTCTCCTTTCTTCTCCTTGCCTGGCCCCCTGAATCCTATCTTAGCCCCCTCAGCCCCCTGACTGACCCTCTCTCGCTCCTTCCAAGCCTCTGCAGCTGGCCCCCCTCCTGGGTTCTGGCCATGAAGCCCACCTCAGGCCCAGAGGAGGCCCCGCGGCCGGCCTCCGACATCCGCGTGTTTGCCAGCAACTGCTCGATGCATGGGCTGGGCCACGTCTTCGGACCAGGCAGCCTGAGCCTGCGCCGGGGGATGTGGGCAGCAGCCGTGGTCCTGTCAGTGGCCACCTTCCTCTACCAGGTGGCTGAGAGAGTGCGCTACTACAGGGAGTTCCACCACCAGACTGCCCTGGATGAGCGAGAAAGCCACCGGCTCGTCTTCCCGGCCGTTACCCTGTGCAACATCAACCCGCTGCGCCGCTCGCGCTTAACGCCCAACGACCTGCACTGGGCTGGGTCTGCGCTGCTGGGCCTGGATCCCGCAGAGCACCCCGCCTTCCTGCGCGCCCTGGGCCGACCCCCCGCACCGCCCAGCTTCATGCCCAGTCCCACCTTTGACATGGCGCAACTCTATGCCCGTGCTGGGCACTCCCTGGACGACATGCTGCTGGACTGTCGCTTCCGTGGCGAACCTTGTGGGCCTGAGAACTTCACCACGGTGAGCTGACCTCCCTACCTGTCCTGCCAGGGACCCAGAGAGCCGAGCCGTCCCTGCCCAGCACCCACAATCCCCTAGCCAGCGTAGACTCCCCCAAAGCCAGGGGACTTCTTCCTTCCTACCAGCCACGGACTCCCCACCCCTCAATGCCACTCCGTGCAGCCCAGGAAGCTATCCTCCTTGGGGCTGTCTCTGTTTCCCAGCCCGGGGGGAGCATGTGAGGCCACACTGACCCTGGCTGGCCCTAGGCCTGAGGTCTGGCCCATGGAGGCCCTGCTCCTGGGGCTGGAGGTCCTCCCTGGTGGGACCATTCTGGGACAGAAGACCCCTGTCTCTGCCAGGAGGGGGTCTTGCTTTCCCTCTACCTTTTCAACATACTGCCAGCCCTGGAGGACAGCCACAGGGGCCCGTTTCCTTTCCCCCAGTCTCCAGAGAAACACGGAAAACCTGTAGGCTGTGCCCTGGGCTTTCGTGGGGACTGGCGGGGAGGAGGAGTTGGGTCGATGGGCTCCCAAGAGCGTCCTGCAACATGTACCCACGTGGAGCGTGGGGCTGGGGGCATTGAGATGTGGGCTTCAGTGTTCAAAGAAGAGACGCAAACATACCATGAGGTGGGGAGAGGTCCCATGACCATGTGCTTGCCTGGGGGAGATGGCCATCACCCTGTCTGCCCGCCCCAGGTCTTCACCCGGATGGGAAAGTGCTACACATTTAACTCTGGTGCCGATGGGGCAGAGCTGCTCACCACTACTAGGGGTGGCATGGGCAATGGGCTGGACATCATGCTGGACGTGCAGCAGGAGGAATATCTACCTGTGTGGAGGGACTATGGTAGGGAGCACACGAATGAGGCTGGGGGAGGGCATGGATGGGGTGCAAAAGGCTAGGGGAAGGAGAGGAGGAGAGGAGGCGTCAGGGTGTTCCCCCAGAACCTGTGAAAGGGGCTGGGCTGGTTCATCCCTGTCCTGGGGAGAGGGGGCTGCAGTGAGAGGTCTTGTCTGGTTGGGCAGGAGACCTGACCACAGGGTCTCAGGCCTCATAGGTCCGTCTCCGACAGAGGAGACCCCCTTTGAAGTGGGGATCCGAGTGCAGATCCACAGCCAGGAGGAGCCGCCCATCATCGACCAGCTGGGCTTGGGGGTGTCCCCGGGCTACCAGACCTTTGTTTCTTGCCAGCAGCAGCAGGTACCCTCCCATGTGCCTCTACACCCATTATTCAAGCCCACACCACCACGGGCCCTAAACCCTCAGCTCCTCAGACCTGTCCAGGGGCCTCTCCCCAGCTGACCTCTCACACTCTCTGGGAAGTCTCCTTAACCCTGTCCCCCTACAGCTGAGCTTCCTGCCACCGCCTTGGGGCGACTGCAGTTCAGCATCTCTGAACCCCAACTATGAGCCAGAGCCCTCTGATCCCCTGAGCTCCCCCAGCCCCAGCCCTCCCTATACCCTAATGGGGTGTCGCCTGGCCTGCGAAACCCGCTACGTGGCTCGGAAGTGCGGCTGCCGAATGATGTACATGCCAGGTGAGGGGCTGGGGTCTTCGTCCCATGGTGGGCAGGGCCCAGAGAGCTGGGGCTGCTCCTGAAGCCATCTCCCCCGCACCCGCAGGCGACGCGCCAGTGTGCAGCCCCCAGCAGTACAAGAACTGTGCCCACCCGGCCATAGGTAAGGGCAAGGCTCCCCCACCTCCCATCCGCCCCGCTCCACCCAGCTGGCAACTGACGCGGCCGGGTGGCCCGCAGATGCCATGCTTCGCAAGGACTCATGCGCCTGCCCCAACCCGTGCGCCAGCACGCGCTACGCCAAGGAGCTCTCCATGGTGCGGATCCCGAGCCGCGCCGCCGCGCGCTTCCTGGCCCGGAAGCTCAACCGCAGCGAGGCCTACATCGCGTGAGCTGTGCGGGGCGGGCGGGCTCCTCTGAGCCGGGGGCTCCCGACGGGGCGGAGCGGGGCAAGCCGGAGCTCTCGTGCGCACAGCCCGGGCGGAGGCAGCCTCCGCAGCCTCACTGGCTCTGGGGCTCCGTGCTGGTTGCTTAACCTTTCTGCCCCCCGGGGGATGCTGACGCCCCCTCCCAGGGACGTTTTTTTCCTTTCCTTTTTTAATCTTTACTTTTAAAAAATGGAGACGGCAGGGGATGGGGGGAGGGGGTCTCGCTATATTGCCCAGGCTGGTCTCAAACTCCTGGCCTCAAGATCCTCCCTCCTCATCCTCCCAAAGTGCTGGGAGTACAGGTGTAAGCCACCGTGCCTGGCCCCTCCCAGGGTTCTTGAAAGGAGTGGGAGAACCCACAGCTGCTTCTTGCCAGCAGTGGGCACCAGGCGGTGGCCAATACACATTTGAGGCCTTTCTTGTCCTCAGGGAGAACGTGCTGGCCCTGGACATCTTCTTCGAGGCCCTCAACTATGAGACCGTGGAACAGAAGAAGGCCTATGAGATGTCGGAGCTGCTTGGTGTGTGTACAGGGCCCCGAGGGCTGGGGAGGTGTGGGCAGGCAGGTGGCTGTGAGTTGAAGGGTGACCCTGTCTCCATAGGCGACATTGGGGGCCAGATGGGGCTGTTCATCGGGGCCAGCCTGCTCACCATCCTCGAGATCCTAGACTACCTCTGTGAGGTGGGCCAGGGCCCCCACTGCAGGGGTGGGAGGTGGGAATCAGGGCCCCTAGGATGAGGGGGAAGGCATACACTGCCACCTCCCATCCTGCTTGCCTCCAGGTGTTCCGAGACAAGGTCCTGGGATATTTCTGGAACCGAAGGCACTCCCAAAGGCATTCCAGCACCAATCTGGTAACAGCCCCTCTTCTGGAGCCCCTGCCAGCTCCAAGGGTTCTAGGCCCCACCCCTGAAGCCTAGAACACCATCCCACCCCAGCTGAGGAGAAACAGGCAGGAGGGTGTGCAGTGACCTTGACTGGTCCCTGGGAGGAGGACCACTCCCCACCTCTGACCCTCTCCTCCTCCCACAGCTTCAGGAAGGGCTGGGCAGCCATCGAACCCAAGTTCCCCACCTCAGCCTGGGCCCCAGGTAACACATAGTGGCCCCCTAAAATCAAGGGAGGGCAGGGACAGGTGCAGGGCAGTGGGTGTGCTGGTTCCCACCCAGCCCTCTGCTCTGTTCCGAAGACCTCCCACCCCTCCTTGTGCTGTCACCAAGACTCTCTCCGCCTCCCACCGCACCTGCTACCTTGTCACACGGCTCTAGGCCTGCTGTCTGTGTCCTCGGAGCCCCACCCTGACATCCTGGACATGCCTGGCCTGCACGTAGCTTTTCCATCTTCACCCCAAATAAAGTCCTAATGCATCAGCCTCAGGTGTTTCTCTTACAGGGCAGAGACTGGCCAAGCCAAGGTCAGCCCAACTCAGGCATCGGAAGTCCTCTGCCAGCCATCATCCAGCGGGAGGTGGCTTCTGAAATGTGGAGTGGGGCCCAGGAACCCCCATGAATCTCTAGGGAAGAATGGTAGCAAGAGGTTATCGGTCCTTTGCAGCTCAGTGGGAGTGAGTTTAGCCGACTGACATCTTAGAGAGAAGGGAGGACGGGTATCTTCCAAGCCCAGGCTTAGGTGTGAGCACAGAATCACAGTCAGCAATAAAGGTATAACTGGAAGAGAGCTCTGCCCAGAGCCCAGCAAGAAGAGGCAGCGAGAAGACAGGGAGTGACTCCACTTTCAAGAACGCCTGTGTCCTGCCTTATATCCTCACTCCTTTCCCACATTTGGGACCAAGCGTGGCACACAGCCTGTCTCCATACCAACAAGCTCTGTCTCCCCAGCCTCCCCACAAGAGCTAAAGGCCTAAGGCTTGAGACGGTGGGGGTGGGGGTGGGGGTTGGGGGAGCTCTCCCTTCCCCTTCCTGCCAGTAAGGACACACCAGGCCCCAGCCACAGGCCCAACTTCCCTCTCTTTCACTGTACCCCAAACATTGGGAAACTGACAAATAGGGAGTGGGAAGGGGTGTTCCTGATGGAACCATATCTTTCGGGCTCTCCTGTGTCAGCCTGCAGGCCTGGGTATGGGGGGATGATGAGGGAAGGGACAAGAGGATCCACCTGAGATATGGAGAACCACAAGGAGAGGCCCAGCCCTTTCCTCCCCACCCTGGCAGGGAGCCCATTCCTGCTCTTAGACACTGGCCCCCTCACTCCAAGGGACCATGTCAGGCGCTCCTGGGCAGAGGGAGGGAAGGTGGGAAGAAGGGGTGTGCAGTGACAGTGCTGCCCTGTCCCAGGGGTGAGGGGTGAGGGTCATGGCCTCTTAAAGTAGAAGAGCAAGGTGCGCCAGAAGCAGGGTTGCGGCCAGCAGTAACAGAGCAGAGACCCCTCCAGCTCATGGCCCCTGTAGAGCCACTTGACCACCACATCAGACAGACTGTGGGAAAGGAGCCAATTTATGAAATTAAATAAAGTCCACAAAGGGAGTGAGAAACTTAGGCTCAGGCAACCCACCCCAGCTGGGCCCAGCACAGCTGGAGCACAGCACACGGGGCACCCCCACCATCTTGCCCCTCCCAAGAGGGGGCTTAAATAGGCCAGGCCCCAGCCTGGAGGCCGGGGATCCTGGGGCCTAGGGCGGGCAGAAGTCAGAGAAGTAGGGGTGCTGCAGGGCCTCTTCTGCTGAGATACGCTGGACAGGGTTACACTTCAGAAGGTTCTGGAGATGGGGGAAAGGAGGCGGCAGGTTCAGGACAGGTCACTGCCCAGAGCCCTGCCTTCCTGTAGTCCCCTCTGGGCAAGTGTCCTGACCCACCCTCTACCCCAAGTCACCTACCTGCAGCAGGTCCCTCCCCGTGGCATTGAGTTTGGGCACAACGTTCACCAGGGATGTTGTGGCCGGGTACATCGGGTAGGGCTGTGGAGAGGCAGGGAGGGTCAGACTAGAGGTAGGGGGAGGGGGGTGGAGGCTGCTAGGAATGTGAAACAAGAGTGACCTTGATGAACCATGACTCCCCAATTCCCCATCACACCTTATAGTCTGGCAGCTTGGTCATAGAGGGCCACTGCTCCTCGGTGGGCGTCCCCAGCAGCGTGTCCACGGAGTCAAGGATCACTTGGGAAAGGGCCAGAGCTGCATCTTCAGGGGCAGGGTGAGGGCCTCTTCCCCTCCCAGGGAGGATTCCTCATACCCACCACCTACTTCTCTCACCTTCCCTTTACCCTCTGGCTTGAGCTTGACAGAAGCAACCCCGGGCAAGTCACTCGTACATCCAACCACGTTTCCCATGACAATCACTAACTAGTCTAACCCACATGCTGCTGTCCTAGTCCTAATGAACTGGTCCTTGCCCTGCTCCCACAAAATGTGTCCTGCTGTCTTTGGCTCCTTCATCCTGGCATCTATCTCTCACCTGGAGGGACACCCTCTTGGCTTTGCCCCCTAGGGCACACTGCCTGTCTCCAAGCCATACCTTCTCCAGTGTGCATCTGCACTGTGACAATCAGGGTGTCCAGCACCTCTGCTGTCTCCCATTGTCCTCAGGAGAAGCCCTACAGACCCCATCACCCCACCCCACACCATCACTGCCCTCACCCACTGCGCTCAAAACTCCATGGGCTGTCCCCTCCCAGAGGGCTCAAGGCAGAGGAAGGCAAGGATATCGGAAGATCCTCTTCAACTGGTCATCAACATCATTGCCGGGAAAAAGAGGCCGCCCAGCATTGGCCAGCTCTGGGGGACAGACAGGGGGCTAAGACATGAGATGTGAAGGACCCCTCACTCTGAGGTACCCCCTGACCTTCCAGCCCCAGTCCCAGGGCCTCCCTCCCTTCCCCTAGAGGGAACCCTCCAGACCCTATTTGTCAACCCAAATGGGAAAGAAGGTGCCTCTGCAGTGCCCCAGCACGTCACCTGCAAAGATGCAGCCGGCTGACCACATGTCGATGGACGTGGAGTACAGCTTGGCCCCAAAGAGGACATCCGGTGGGCGGTACCACAGTGTGACCACCTAGAGGAGACCGCCCCCCGACAGGGGACTCCCACTTAGAGGGCTGGGGAGGAGGTTTGAGGAGGAGGCTCAGAGAGGAGAGGAAAATAGTGTTTTGGGTCCTGGGGTTGGAGCTGAGGGACTCCCTCCCCCAATCCCATATCCCATCTCCTAGCTCACCTCAGCTGAGTAACAGCGGACAGGGATCCCAAAGGCTCGAGCCAGGCCGAAATCAGCCAATTTCAGCTCCCCATTCTGAGGGGAATGGGAAGGGGACATGGAAAAGGGCCTTTAAGCAGCCTTGGGACAGCACAGACTCCATCCTCCCAGTCCTCTTCCCTCCGGGCTCACCACGCCCTGGCCCCAGGCTTCCCACTCCCCACCTTCTTCCCAAGAAGTACCCTGTTTATTAGCAGGTTCTGGGGCTTCAGGTCCCTGTGTAGCACATTGCGGCTATGACAGAATCCCAGGCCTTTCAGTAGCTGGAAGAGGAAGGACTGGGAGGAGAGCAGGCGAAGGGAGTCAGACGCCCTGAACATGCAACTGTGCCCAGCAACGGGTTGGCTCCTCTCCTCACTCTGTGCTTCACTCTACCCCACCCACCTTTCAGCACTTGGTTCAGAGTGACACCATTCATTCGCCATTCAGAACCTGCTTTATACTGTACTAGGCATTAGAGGGACAAGAGTGAAGAAACTGGCCCTGGTCCCCATCTTCCTGGACCATATAGCCTAATGGGCCTTGCCAGGTGGATCCTAGATCCCACCTAGATCCTAGCCCATGCTGATCTTCCCTTCTGGCCGCATCTGAGTATGCACACGATACTACAGCACATAAATATCATGCTGTAGTATCATTCAGGACTGGCTCCCCTGGAACCTGGACCAAGGCATTTGGTCTTGGGCCTAGAAGAGCACTTGGCACACAGTGAAGCATTCAGTAAGTATGTATTGAATGAATGAGTGTGTCTCCTTGAACGTCATTTTCTCATCTCTGAGTATAAATACTATCACTGACGTCAGAGTGCCATTGTGCAGGTCAAAGACGACCACGTGAAAATGTTTGCTAAGACTGGAGGCTCCTAGAGGGCAGAATCAGGGTTTTCTCATTCTCTGACACCCCAGAGCGTCCCTGTTCAGGGCCCAAAGTTAGAGCCCAAGGAGTGCTTACACTGAATGCAGACTCTGACCCCAGTCTGAGGGGCCCCCAACACCACTCTCCTCACCTTTACAATCTCAGGATCAAGGTCACCATTGCAACTGTCAAAATACTTCTTCAGGTCCTGAAAAGGGATATGAGTGGGGTAATGGGACAGAGTTTAACCTCAGTCTGGGCCCCTATACCTTCCCAAGGCTACTGTCCCCCAAACCCCGCCTTTCACCTGGTCACAGAATTCAAAAACCAAAGTCAGCTTCTTGTCACTGTGCAGGACATCATGAAGCCTAGGGCAAAAGAAGGGCTCAGCCATGCAGGTCCGCCTGACAGACGTCCAGTGTCAGCCCCCGCCTCCCCCAGGCGGCCACACCGGCAAGGAGCACCCGCCTCCCGCACACCTGACGATGTTCTTGTGCTTCAGCTCCTTGAGTAGGCAGATCTCCCGGAGGGCAGAACTCGGCACACCCTGCATATGTGAGGGGGCCGGGTGGGCAGCAGTCAGATCCCACCCAGCCCAGGCCCTCAACCCCCTCTCCAGGCCCTATCTCAGTCCCCAGTCCTACCTCATCATCGTCATCCAGCCTCACCCGTTTCAGAGCCACGATCTCATGAGTCTCCCGGTTTTTGGCCTTGAACACTGTTCCGTAGGTGCCTAGGGGAAGGAGGTCAGGGGTCAGGGGGAGGATGCGGCACTCTTCCCTAAGCCAGGAAATGCCTCCCGGGAGGTGAAGGCAGCGTCTGAATATGCAAAGAAAGGGATTCAGGGTGAAGGTAGGTGGGTGAGCTTTGTGAGTGAGGATGTGGCAGGTGAGGAGGGAGGAGAAGGTGCCCGCGGAGGCTCCAGGGGCTCAGCAGGAGGGGCGAGTGCGGCTGCCAGGGCAAGGATGTCTAAAATGAAGGCGGTGCTCCGGAAGGGTCTGGAAATGGTGAGGAGGGGCCTGGGAGAGGACTGAGGGGCTGCAGAAATATTGAGGTTGGAGGTCTGCAGCAAGAACCGAGGCTGGGGCTCGGGGTGAGGTTGTCCAAGTGGTGCTGAGGCTGGGGTGAGAAATTCAGGAAGTGTCGCGGTTGGGAGGTCGGGTCTACTGGGAAGGCTAATGTTGGAGTGAGAGCCTGCGGGAAATGCTAACACGGGGAAGACTGGTGTCTGTACGGAGTGCTGAGCTCGGGGGCCAGTGCTGCAGCCGCTGCTGAGGTCGGAGCCTGTAGGTATTGCTGACGGTAAGGGAGCCAGGGCTGCAAGGAATGCCGAAGGATCTGCAGAGGAGCTCTTACAGGAACATCTCGAGATTCCATTACCTTCCCCAATCTTTTCCAGTTTCTCGTATTTCTGCATCGCGGCGGCCGCGGGGACCCCTGCGGGCCCTCGGTTTTAAGACTCTGGCCCCGGCGTTGCAGAGGAGGCGGCACCCGAGCCTCCAGCCCCGCCCCGCCTCGCCGCGCAGTACCTTCTGGGGCTTGTAGTCCTAAGACAACAAGGTCTCCCCGCAGTGCCCGAGACCGAGGACAAGAAGACTACAACCCCCAGCCGTCTGCGCTCACGCTCTCTGCAGCACTCGACTCCAGGGCTCCGGTTCCACCGCGGAGGCAAAACCCTGGACTTCAAGTCCCAGGGAGCAACGCGTGTCCGTTTTCCGGGCGCCCCGCCGCGGCGCCGCGGTTCCCAGTGTGCCCCGCTGTTGTTATTCATTTTATGTGCTCCCAGCCTTCTTGAAAAGGGCCGCTCCGGGACTACGCGTTCCAGAATGCAGCGGGGATGGGGGCGGAGCTCTCGGTTAGAGGTTTGGGGTTTGGCGGCCTAGATCCCGAGCCTTGGCGGCCCAGCTCTGACCTGGTTGGTGGCATTGAGTTCCCAACGGCCTCTTGACGACCTCAGCACGGGTTTCCTCCACCTCTCCCCAAGCCACCTAGTGACACCAGGATTCACTGGGGAATGCATGTGAGCGATGATGACCTCACAGGGAACAGCTGACCGCAGGGCTGGGAAGAGAACAGCTGTGCCCCTTTGAGGCTGGATTTTAGTGGAGGGACACACGCCAAAGACCCCTCTCTCGGCTGGGCCCCGTTTGTTGTCTCGGAGCCCACCCAACTCCAGCCGCTGAACTCTGACATGCTGAGAAAAGCTGGGTGGAGCCCTGGAGGTCCCCCCAGACCCCAGTCTCCCGAACAGGGCTCACTGGAGTCAGCCAGGGTGTGGCCGGCAGGTTGGTTAACCCCCTCCACAGACAAGACCACAGACCGATGCTCAACTTGCAGCAGCCTCTACCTCATCCCTTAAAGGAGTTGATTATAGATTCCCTTGCGCTGCCTCTCTAATTGTCTCATGATTGCATTCTTGAGGGCTACGGACCGAGGGAAAAGGATCCCAAACAGCACTCCTCAGCACCGGAACCAGTTACTGCCAAACACGTGTTAATTAACTCGTTTCTATCTGAATGCTTTTGCATACACAAGAGAAAAGAAGCGAAAAGTACATTCCTTATCTGGAAGACTTTGTGATTTCGTTGGGCAAACAAGAACTACACACAGGTCTTGAATGATAAGTGATGACTATGACTAGGGTTCGATTCAGTGTGGAGGTTCCATTCAAGAGGAAGTAGGCCACCATAGCGAATCTCTGCCCCTCTCAGGAAGTGGGGAGCCCCTAACAAGTTGCCCTCTCCCAGATCAGCTCAGGGTACTGGGCAGCCAGCCTCCAGCCGCTGTCACCCTTCTCACCTGCTCGCCACCGTCCCTCAGGGGCTTTCTTGGAGGCACGGGGGTTATGGGGGGGGGGGCCGCAAGAGAATCTCAATCCCGATACGTTTATGTTTCGACTTCTCCGAATTTCCTTGGGCCTGCGTTTTACTGCCTGGGATCCGTAGCGTGAGGCGGGCTCCTTTCCACCCAGAGGTGCCGTAATGGAGCCAAGAGACGGCATCCTCGGGGCTTCCAAGCCCGGAGTGGGGAAGCTTGGGGCAGAGGGACGGCGGGGGCGGCCCCTGGTGCCGGGCTGTGCCTGGAAGCGCGCCCCCGCCCCGGACCCCGCTCCCGCCTCCCCACCCGCGGCGGCGGGACCGCGCACGGTGCGCCGGGGGGCGCGCACGCAGGGGGCTGGCCTGCCCGTGGCGCGGGGGAAAGTTGAGTTGGGAGAAGTTGGGAGCGGCGGGGGCGCGCCCCGGGGTGGGCACGGGGCAGTCGTCGGGAGCGCGCGAGGGTGCCGGAGGACTGGGAGAGACCCCGAGACCCCCGGGGCACGAAGTCCAGAGCGAGCGGGTAAGCGGAGAGGCGGTGGCGGGGGAGGGCCAGGGCCGCGGAGGGAGGAAGGGAGGGGGAAGGAGAGGGGGGAACTCGGGACTCGAGCAGGGAGGGAGTGGAAGTGGAGGAAAGGGCGGAGACTGGGGCGCGGGGAACCGCGGTCTTGGGGAGAAGGATGAGGAGGCGGATGGAGTGCTGGTCGGAGGCGAGCATTCCGGGGTCCCTTTCTCAGAGTTCCCTAAAGTCATGGTGCCGCGCCCCCTGCCACCAGGAGTGGGTAGTCTCCCTGAGGAGCCGCCGGCCCTCCCACTCCCCGGCTGGCTCCAGACCACCCCTCCCCTCTGGCCACCCCTCATAGTCCTTCAGTCCCGTCCGGGGCGCCCAGACTGGGGGTTGCCCGGGGCCTCCATCCCCAGTCTGCGGGTTGGGAGGCGAAGCCAGGAAAGGCGGGTGGCGGGTAAGGTCGGGGCAAGGGGTCAGGCAGAAGAGGGAGCAGCTGGGTGGGGATGGGAACGACGAGCCCGGAGAGTTGGACCTGACTCCCGGGGTCGGTTTGTCTAGGCGGGGAGTTCTGTGCTGGGTGTGAGAGACGGCACTGCCTGAAATCCAGGGTCTACTTTATCCCGCTTCGTTTCCCCTGCCAGTCCCACATGGAAGAGCTGTGGAATTTACGAGTTCACTTGGGGGGTGGTTAATGCCCAAGTGGGGGTCCGAGATGCTAATCCTTTGGGCAAGGGGAGAGATGCTAATCCTCTGGGCCGGTCGGGGCTGGTCCGAGGAATGTGCCCCTACCCGGATTATCGGCACCGATGCTCTGGACAGAAGCTGCTTTGTGTTCTGGGACAGCGGGGGAGGGGGTACAGAAGAGTGTGGAGGAGCGCGTTAAGGGCACAGCCTGAGGTGGGAGTGGGCGCCTGCAGGTGCTCAGGGCGGACTCTTCCCACACCCTTCCCAGACTGGGTGCCCTCAGGCTCACCCACACCGCCCGCCCTGGCTGAAGGCCTGCTGAGGGGGAGGGGAAGACCGTAGTTAGCCGAATTGGAGTGTTTGCCAAGAATGTGTTGCCAGGCTCCCCATCCTGGGTGAGCCCCCCGCCCCGACCTATATTGTTTGACCCTACACTGACTTGTCTTACTCCTGAGTCGGGCACCCCTAGTCCCCAGCAACACACTGGGAGCATCGGTACCATCACTTTTTGCCAGTCTTGGGTGTCCCCTGTGCTGACTAGGAATAGGCCCCCTATTTGCAGGGATTGGGCTCCCTCCTGCAGCTCCTTCTCTGCCCCCACCACACAGTGTCCTCCCCAGACTCCCTACAGTCACAGTCAGGAGGGTGGCAGCGCTGCCACTCAGATTTTCCTGGCTCCAGGCTCTGGAGGGGCGGGATCCAGACCGCCCCTCAAAGGCAGAACCTCAAGGTTGCGGTGCCCACCCCCTCCCAGCCCATCACATGCCCCTCCCCCATTATAAAGCTCTGCCCAGCCCATGCCCACCTTCTGTGCCTTCCTCCCTCCCACTGAGTGAGTGGAGTTGAGCTCCTGCCCTCCACCCAGCCAGCCTGCTTCCCTCCTGCCAGCCCCCACGGACCTGGGGGAGGCAAGACTCCTGCTGGCCTGCACTGGGGAGGGGGCGCCCCCTCCCTGCGGGGGCATCTTGGGCTCTCTCCAGAGTTCTTCCTCTCGTCTGCTTCCTGTCTCGGCAGTCCGGCCCCGGCTCCACGGGGTGTCTCACTCTCCCCACCACACCCTCTCTGGTCTCAGGCCCACCTCTGGTGGGTGCCCTGACCCTGCGAGGCTCCCTTGTCTGCCTGAGTCTTCACTCCCCTCCTTCCCCGGCTTATTATCGCTCCCTCCCTCATCTCTGTTGCTTTCTCTCCGGGCCTGGGCCTTGACTCCTTTCTCCCTCGTTTTTCTTGCGGCCTCTCCCACCTTCTCTCTCCTCCTCCCTCTACTCAGTGTCTCGGCCTTTTTTGGCCCCACTCGCCTCAGTCCTCTCCTGTCTCCTTGTTCTTCTCTTTTCTTCCTATAAATAACTCTCTGTGCTGTGGCTGCCGCTAAGGGCCACTCTGAGGCCCTTCATAGTCCAGGAGGATCCCCAGCGGCGGGCTCTCGATGGTGATCCAGCCTCTCCCCCATCCAGGTTATGCCTCCGCCTTGTTGCCCTGAAAGCCGCAGCGACAGCGAAAAGGGCTAAGATTCGGCCATGAGCAGCGCCCCCCGGTGCCCCGCCAAGGGCGCAGATTCTTTCCGCACGGTGAGTTGGTTCCCCAGGTCGCCAGCCTGACCTTCCCTCCCTGGCAGCCTTGTGTGCTCTGGCCGAGGGTCCTCACCATTCAGGGGTGTGAGCGTGTGTGAGTGTGCAGACCGGGAGGACGCTGCCATCCCTACCCTGATCTTGCATGATGGTCGTGCAGGGGGATGGGTAGTGGGGGTATCAAACGTCTTCCAGTCCTGGGGAGGGAGTTGAGGCTGTTACGTGAAGACCTAGGTAGCTTAGCCTCAGCGGTTGAGGAACTATGAGAACCCTGGGTCTCTCACCCAGCAACCAGTCTCAGACCCAGCCGGCCTTAGAGGCCCAGGTCAAGTCTGCACGCGGGCGAGGGTTCTGGGCGGAGCTCGCCTGCCGTGACTGGCCACGCCCCCTGCCCACGTGCCACCCAGTCCCGCCCCTCCCTGCCCTCACGTGGCCACCGCTCCACATGGCCCCCTCTGGATTTTCCTAAGGAGTCTAATGATTAACCCCGTGCCACAATCAGCTCCGCTATTGGTCACTCTGGCCCAGAAGGGCACGTGACTGGGAAGGGGCGCAGGCTGGTCCCCTCCCCCTCCTCAGGTTCACCCCTGCCGGCCATGGACTTCCTCCTGCGGCCTCAGGTGCGAGGGGCCTGCTACCCTCTCTCCCTATGGGGGCAAGCTCTCTGCGCCTCTCCCCGCCCCCTCGTCCCACGGGGCTGCTTCTGGTGGGAGTGGGGCTGGGCCATGGGGGAGCCAGGAGATGGTCAGGAGCCTTATGTACCGAGGGAAGAAGCCAGCCCCCTGGTCTGCTCACCTCTTATCCGGCGTTCTGCCAGGCCCAGCCGCTCCAGTCCCCACCTCGCCCCTAAGACCCGCCCTTCGCCCCAGCCCTCCTCCCCGCTCTCTTCCTTATTCTCGCTGCTGGCACCGCCATGGAGGGGGCTGCATACCCCCGCCCTTGGAGATCCCGATGCCCTTCAGGTCCAGAAGCTCTTGAGCAAATATTTGGCGGCGCCTGGAGCTAAGACTGTGGGTGGGTGGGGGGCTGGACCAAGGCTGCCTGGCCAGGCGGCTGCCACTTAGCTGTGCTGAGCTCTTGCAAGCGCCGCATTCCCTGCCGGCTGTGCCGGCCGCTGCTCCGCGCCCGCAGGATGACTCAGGTGGGGGCTGTGGGGGTGGGGTGAGGGGTGGGGCTAGGGAGCTGGCCCAGTGCTCAGGCTGGGGGCCTGGGGCTAGGGGAGCTCTCCTGGGGGCTGAAGGGCATCCATTCCTGTACCTGCGGGGCTAGTTTTTTTTGACTCAGACGGGTTCTGGGGCGGTCAGCTTGGGCGCCTCCAGAAGTTACTTTTTGGGCTCAGTAGTTGTCCTCAGGCCAACGGGAGTTTCTTCACTATCTGTCACGTGAACTTCCCGGTTCACACGCCCTCCCTCCAGGCTGCAGATGGGCTGGACACACGGGATTTCTTCCACCTGCCCTGAACTGACTGCACAGCCGAGGGGGCTGGGCTGGGCTGAGGGTAGTTCAGAACCCAGGGGACAGCTGCTGGGGGAACTGGGTCTCTGCATCTGAGGGGGCAGACTGCTGGGGGGACACTGGTTCCCTGTGTTTGAAGGGATGTGTACTGGTAGGGGGACTGGCTTCCTGCATTTGATGGGGCAGACTGCTTGGGAGGACTGGGTCCCTAGGTTTGTTTTCATTTTTGTTTTTTTGAGACAGAGTCTCACTCTGTCACCCAGGCTGGAGTGCAATGGCATGTTCTTGGCTCACTGCAACCTCCGCCTCCTGGGTTCAGGTGATTCTCCTGCCTCAGCCTCCTGAGTAGCTGGGATTAGAGGTGCCCGCCACCGCCTGGCGAATTTTTGTGTTTTTAGTAGAGATGGGGTTTCATCATGTTGGTCAGGCTGGTCTTGAACTCCTGACCTCCAGCAGTCCACCCACCTCAGCCTCCCAAAGTGCTGGGATTACTGGTGTGAGCCACTGTGCCTGGCCTGGGTCCCTATATTTAGGGGACAGCTGCTGGGGGGATATTGAGTCACCAGCATTAGAGGAGATAGCTGCTGAGGGGAGGGGTCCTGAGTCTCTGGCACTGGGAAGGGTGAGGTTTCGGGGTACAATTCCCAGTGAGTCCTGTGTGTTTTTTCTCTATGCCTTCTTCCACACAGCCAGAGCCAGAGAGCTTGGGCCCTGGGACGCCTGGGTTCCCCGAGCAGGAGGAAGATGAACTTCACCGCACCCTGGGCGTGGAGCGGTTTGAGGAGATCCTACATGAGGCCGGGTCTCGCGGAGGGGAGGAGCCAGGCCGCAGCTATGGGGAGGAAGACTTTGAGTGTGAGGGGGCAGGCAGGGAAGGGGGAGGCAGGGATATCAGGTTTGACTCTTCAGTAAAGAAGGGGCTGGGGTCCTAGTGGGAGGAGCGAGGCGGGGGGGCAGGATGGCAGGGGAGGGGACGCTGTGCCTGCCGCAGCCAAGTCTCCCTCCTCCCTGCAGACCACCGCCAGTCCTCCCACCACATCCATCACCCACTGTCCACCCACCTGCCTCCGGATGC